CAAAATAGCTGATAACTATTTGCTGATAGCTGCCAACATCTGCAAACAAATATAATTCTATAAAGTGGTTCAGTATATTGTGTAACTGTTAATATAGAGCGTTATTACATTTATTGTTAATGCAATCAAATGGCACACTGACTTCTGAGGAAATTTTAAATGGCATTCGCCATCAGAAAGGTTGCCTACCCCTGGTGTATTGTGATGCACACTCAAGATGCACTGTGTACAGCTCTCCACGGACACCCTTTATTGTGCTCAGAGTTGGAAGTATCAAGGTCCAAATTGTCACGGACCCAGCTCCGGGGACTCAGGGTCCGTGGGCAGTGTGGACTACTGTTATAATTATTGCTGTGATTATGTGATGTGTGTGTTGTCTGCACTGCTGCTGTTCTTGTGATTCCCCGTCCTGGTATGTATAGGCAAGTGGGTGTCTCTGTGAGTGTGGCTGAGTACTGGGTTTCAGGTAGGCCTGGTGGGTGTGTCCTATCTAGAGGATGGCCACACCTGAAGCAGATGATGACTCACACACCTGCAGCTAATGAAGCGTTGTCGGGGAGCTTCTTAAAACGGTGGCCGAGCGCTCCTCGGCGTGGGATCGTTGCGTGAGACTCCACGTTAGTGTTATTAATACCAAGTCGAGTGTCCTGACAAGTTGCTTCTTTGTTATTTTTCTCCAGGAAGGAGCAGGGAAGACAAGAGCAGCGAGCACGGGGTGCGGGGACACACAGGAGCGGAAGAGCACGGAGCACGGACTTGTGGGTGAAGACATGACACGGAAGTCAAGGGGAGAACACGGGATTGATTCTGTGAACTATTTCCACTACTGTAAATAAACACACTGCCTTCATCACAAAGTCCTGCATCTTGGGTCCTCATTCCCCTCATCCTCACGGTCTGCCACACAGACCGTGACACAAATACTTTGTTACAGTGTTTAAGTAGAAGTTTCAGATATCTATATTGTACCTGAGTATTTATTTTTCTGACGATTTTTTATATTTACTCGTTACATTTAACCACAAATATCTGTATTTTCTACTTCTTACGTCTTCAAAATAGACTCATTACTTTAAGTTTAACACATTTAAAGGAAAGTTTTTATAGAAATGAACTGCAGAGGAATTTCGTTCAAAAAGGAGCGTGACTGCGACACGGAGATAAGAACTAAAGTGTTGTACAGTTATTATACACAGTTATTACATTTGACTTATATATCTCTTCAAACAATGCAAAAGATTCAAGCCTAAGCTGATGCTGCACTCTATGGATAGTTTATCTAGTTGTGGTTTTTAAAATGCTTTAAATTCCGATTCACAAAGAAGCGAGATACCAGAATCGTGACAGACACAGTACATTTTGTTCCTTATTTTCAACACACACTAGATTCCTCCATCTACATCCATCCATTTTATCTTGAACATGTTAGATAAACTGAGCCAATTAACCTTTACTAAATAGCTACTACCGTTTTTCAATTAGTTTGGGTCACAAAATGTGGTTGGAACATTATTTATTTTGTTAAAAAGGTTTTGCAGTTGCTTTCATCTATCTCAAAATCACTGGCTTCCCCAGAGATGGACACGAGATGTCCTTCAGCATTGTTGTGTGTGAATACCACAGCACGACAAGAACTGTCTAGTCGTTTTGATGCTAATGAAACAATGAAATATTGAGTGGAAGAAGAAGCCACAGCCTGAGTTCTCCAAATGTTTACTAA